TTAGATATGCAGATATGATATCTTTTGCATTAACAGTGGCAAATGATATCGAATCCTCAGAACCAAGGAACTTCTTAGAGGCAGTTAATAGCAAGGAGTCTGATAAGTGGTTAGAAGTTATGAGTGAGGAAATGAAGTCACTGCAAAAAAAAAAAAAAAAAAACATAATGTGGGAATTGGTGAAGAAACCTCCTTAACAGAAGATTGTAGGCTCGAAGTGGGTGTATAAGTACAAAGAAGGAATACTAGGTGTTGAGAGTGCGAGAGATAAGGCCAGATTGGGGGCCAAGGACTTCACACAAAGAAAGGGAATAGACTATAATGAAGTCTTTTCGTCGGTGGTCAAGCATAGCTCAATCCAGATGTTACTGTTATTGATGGCTCAAGATAATCTAGAGTTAGAACAATTAGATGTAAAAACATCGTTTTTACATGGAGAGCTCGAAGAAGATATCTACATGGCTTAACCCGAATGATTTATCACTAAATGCAAGGAGGATATGGTGTGTTTACTAAGGAAGTCACTCTATGGTTTGAAGAAATCACCACGACAGTGGTATAAATGGTTTGGTTCTGTTATGATTCACAGTGGTTTTACAAGGTGTGAACATGATAGTTGTGTGTACTGTAAGAAAGTTACGGAGCAGGATCAAATATACCTCTCATTGTATGATGATGACATGTCAGTGGCTTGAGGTTGATTCACAGTGATTTTACAACGTGTGAACATGTCAATTGTGTGTACTGTAAGAAAATTACGGAGCATGATCAAATATACCTCTTATTGTTGGGTTATGTTAGTGCGGGGTAGAGCTTTTTCTTCCTCCGCCCCAAAGGGTGCGGGTTGTACATATTTGGCCCCAACGATATTAGAAAAATTTCACAACCCAATGATGTTTGGGTTGGGTTAGGGCGGTGCGGGATGGGTTGGGTGATCGGTTTCAACATTCAAAAAATAAAAAACTCAAAGTTCAATCTAACATATAATAACTCTAACATTCAAACAAATAGCAGTTCAAAGTTCAATCCGACATCAAACATGAAGCAAAGTAGTCCATCCAACATCAAACATAAAGCAAACATAAATTAGTCTACACTCATAAATTAGTCTTAACATAAGACAAACATAGAGGCTTAATTCAAATCCATCCAGAGCAAGCACTGCAACAGCAACCATCATTATCAGTCCACACTCATAGGCTACTTAATGGTTGTAGTAGGATATGAAGTCGAGTTATCTACAAGAGAAATGAAAATAGCTTAAGTAATAATTTGGATAGTTTAGAGTTCATATAATAAAATAGATTAAGATACATACAAATTATTATCTTACCTAGGTTTTCTTAAGTCTCCAAGTCATCCAAATAGTCTCTTCATTGTATACAATCATGTGTAGATTTCAACCAATTTTGAGTACAAACAAGAGCATCCACCATCTTAGGATTCAAAGAACTCCTAAATGGATCCAAAATGCGACCACTAGTACTGAAAGCTGACTCGAAAGCTACTGTGGAGACTTTGATAGCAAGTACAATACAGGCAATTTGAGCCAAAACCTTAAACTTCTTGTTATTATCTTTCCACCACTATAAAATATCAAATTAGGGGTTAAAGGTTCAGCTATATACCTTTCAAGGTCATTTTTTTCCATATTATCCCCTCGTTGCTTCAAGAATTGACTTAGCAACTCATTGACTGCTTAGACAAGTGGTTGTTTTGGAGTATTTGTAATCATTTCTTATTTTTTTTCCATTATCTACCCCTTCACCATAAAAGGACATCATTTTAGCTAGTGTTTCATCCACTTTGTTGCACAATTTAGAGGTTGTGGAAGCATCATAAATCATGCTAAAATAATACCGATTGGTTTTTAGGAGTAAGGGATGAGGAAGGTGATGCGACAGATCCAGAAGTTTTGGTGTTGTTGCTTGATGATGATAGGAACTTGTCCATCCTAAACAGAAAACATAACACCAGCCAAAGTCCAAACCAATCAACACATTCACAAAACAAACAAATCAAAAATAAAAAAATCACATGGACACATTCACTAATCACATAACTGAAATCACATAGCTGAAATCACATATCTGAAATCACATAGCTACTTTATAAACCTCGACAAATCAGAAATCACATGCGGCAAATCAGAAATCATAAACAAACCCCATTTGATTCAAGAGCAAACTCCTCATAATAAACCTCGAAATTGGGCAGAAATCAATCATAACATATTTCAGATTGCGCTGTTGATTGAGCAGAAATCAATCATAACATACTTCATATTTCAGATTTTAGATTTACCTGAGAGTCGAGAGGAGAGGCGGAGACCGGAGAAAGCCGAGAGGAGAGGCGAAGACCGGAGAAAGCTGAGAGGCGAGGCAGAGACAGGAGTTGGGCCTGGAGGAAAGGCGAAGAGGAGAAGCGGAAACCGAGGATAGGAGAGGCAGAGATCCGAGGAGAGGAGAGGGGGAGAAGAGAAGCGGAGACCGAGGAGAGGAGAGGCGGAGACCGGAGTTGGGCCTGGAGAATAGGCGGAGAGGAGAAGCGGAGACCGAGGAGAGGAGAGGCGAAGATCTGAGGAGAGGAGAGGCGGAGAGGAGAAGCGGAGAGGTGGAGATCTAAGGAAAGGAGAGGCGGAGAGAAGCCGCCGGCACCAGAGACGAACAGTTTAAGGGACTGAAGAGTGAAGGTCTGGTCGTGGTCGAGGAGGGGAAGCCGAGAGTGAAGGCTGTTTGAAGACTGAAGATAGACTAGATAGTATAAGTACTGTAGAAAATAGAAATGATGTCTAGGGTTAGATATTACAAATAAGGGATGTTCATGGGCTGCGCGGGTTGGGTTGGGGTGTGCAGGGCATTATCGGCCCAACCCACACCCCGCTGTAAAATTTCGGGCCAAACATTGAATGGGCTAAAAAAAAAATTAATGCTAGAAATTATATTTTTCAGATTGGGTTGGGGTGAGTTAGGTTGGGCCTGCGGATTTTGTGGATTTATGAACAGTCCTATCTTATTGTATGTTGATGACATGTTAATGGCATGCAAGCATGGTTCAGAGGTAGATAAAGTAAAAGGGTTGCTGAAAAATGAATTTGAGATAAAGGATATGGGTCCTGCTATTAAGATCTTAGGCATATAGGTCATAGGAGATATGAGTAGTGAAACATTGTTCTTATCACAGAGGAGATATGTAGAAAAGATTTTGAGAAGATTCAATATGGATAAATCGAAATCTGTTCAAATACCTATTGCTCAACACTTTAAGCTGTTAATGAAAGATTTACCTAGCACAAAAGAAGAAAAGGCCGAGACGTTGCAGGTTCCATATGCAAGTGCAGTGGGAAGTGTCATGTATACAATGGTTTGTACTCGGGCAGATCTGTCATAAGCAGGTATATGGCAAATCCTGGAAGAAATCATTGGGAGGCAGTCAAATGGGTGTTGAGGTATCTAAGAGGGACTAAGGATTTTGGTTTGCTCTATGGAGATTCAAAGAGAACAAGGAAAGTTTGATGACAGGTTATGTTGATTCTAACTATGCTGGTTGCTTGGATAATAAGAGGTCTTTGACGGGCTACGCGTTTAAATTCTGTAATAATGTTGAGTTGGAAAGCTAGTTTGCAGCATGTGGTTTCTCTGTCTACGACTGAGGCTGAGTTTATAGCAGCAACTGAGGCTATTAAAGAAGCAGTGTGGATGAAGGGAATGACTGAGGAACTGGGTTTCCAAGGAGCTACGGCAAAAGTGTTCTGTAATAGTCAAAGTGCAATTCATTTGGCTAAGAATCAGGTTTATGAGAGAACTAAACATATAGATGTCAGATTGTACTTTATCAGAGAGATAATTTCAGCTGGGGAAGTCAAGCTCGAGAAGATCCCTACTGAAGAGAATCCTGCTGACATGATAACAAAGGCTCTTCCAGCCCAAGTTATAGTATTGTCTTAAGCTGTTACACGTAGAGGAAGGCTGAGTCATTTGAGACTTGGGGAATCAACGTGAAGCAAATAAATATCAGATCAAGGTGGAGAATTGTTAAAAGTGCAGAGGTGGCAGAGTCACATTGGTCAGTTGTAAAGCTAGGTGTGGTCTAGCACACAGAAGATCAAGATTTAGGGTTTTGTAATTAGTCCGATAGTACGACTTTGTATTCTCGATTCTAGGCTTTATCTTCTGTTTTATAAATGAGTGCAGTAGTCCATATTCATATTGTAACTAGACTGGTGAGACAGAAAATTCTCCCGTGTAAAGAGTGAATTTCTAGTGATTTGTAATTTTTGTCTCATCAATAAAAACTGAGTATCCTGTTGATTGAATTTCTTCTCTGAGTGTGCTTTTTTTGGTTATTTTCTGATGTAATTTCTCGGGATAGTTCTTGTTCTAGGGTTCAAGTTTTAGCATGTACTATTACACATTCATTTTTCAAACTTGCAAACTTCCCTTCTATTGAACATTTTTTCAGTTTTTAAGCTGAAGGTATTTCCATTTTAGTTTTTTTTACAGAATCCCCAACGGAATGCTACAAGTTACCACCCTACTGTAATAAATAGCAAACATAGAATTTCTTTCTTCCACGTTATAACATTATAAAAAAAATGTAGATTCCTATTCACTATAAGACATGTGAATGATCCTATATCAAAACCATTTTTTTTTTTTTTTTGGATTTAGGAAATTAATTTTGTAATAAAGATTCACAAGGATTCCCATAGTCTGAGCATAAACTTCCAAGTTATGTAATGCAGGGAACTTCCGAAACAACTAGAGGAGACAAGTTAAGCTAAAAAGGGAAAATATAATGATTACACTGCATTCAGCCTACTACATAAATGGAAAAGAAAATTAACAAGGAAAAAAAAACATTTTTTACGAGGTGTTCATCTTCTTATCATCAGCCTAATTTACGTGGGAAAAAATTTAAAAAAAAAAATTAAAAGAAAAGTACATTCGCTAAACTTCAATTAGCCTCCTCTTCCATCACCCAAGAGATTAGAGAAAAAATAAATCCAAAAACAAAACAAAAATCAAATTAGAACTAATGAAGAGAAAAAGACAACAAATTAAGGATGTCAAATATTAGTAAAAGTGGAGGAGTTAAAATAATATAAATATAATGATTTTCAGACCCCAACCGCTTGCGGCGTCGGAGGTGTCGGCGCCTCCGCGAGCGACGGCGGAGCTGATTCCCTACGGCGGTGCGCATTCTTGTTATTGTGCATCCAAACCTTGAGCACATTACGCTTGACCCCAATCTCGGAGCAGAACTGGTTGATCGCCACGTCATCCTGCCTCTGTATCCTCCACCCGATCCTATCTGCGAACGCCAGCATCCTATCCTTCTGCTCCAGCGTGAACTTCGTCCTGAACCTCTTCCCTCCTCCCCCGGAACCCGCCATCGCGGATGGCGCCGACACGTCCTCCCTCTCCGGTGTCTCCGACGACCGCCGGTCGTAATACTCCCTGACCTCAGCTCCACACTCGGCGCGGCCCTCACGCGCCTCCACAATTCCCCTCCCTCCTCCGCCACTGCCGTTTCGGTGGAGGGAGTGAATCTGGTGGCGCCGGGGCGGCCCAACGACGCTCATCTTCGGGTCCCACCGTGGGGTGGCGGGCCCCACGGCGTTATACAGAAGCACGGGCTGGGGAGGAGGGGAGTGCACGGGGTATAACAAGTTCTGCTCGCACCCGATTATTTCCCTCCGGTGGAAGTTCCGGTGGCAGCCGCACGCAGCGCACGTGAGGGACGACGGCGACATGTCGCTTTTTTCCGCCTCGGCGGAGGATGGCATGAACTCACCGCAGCCGTCGTTAGCGTGGCCGCCAATGGAGGCTGCGTGGTTCCTCATGCACTCCTTGTACTTGACGTCGTTGCAATTGGAGTTAAGAATGTTCTTGTTATTAAGGTTGTTGTTGTTGTTGTTGGCGGCGTTGTTCTTGGGCTCCACCACGTCGCCGTCCTCGCTCTCATTGTCGGCCTTGTTGTTGGCTGAGTTGTGGTGATGCTTGTATGGGACTACGCTTAAGTCCATCTTTTTAGGGTTTTTTTTTTTTTTTTTGGTTATCTACAAAACCACAAAAACCTACGACGTGTTACGCCGTCAAAAAGCGAAAACAGAAAGATCTAGGTGGAGGGATAATATTACGGGCAGTAGCAGCAGTAGTAGTAGTGGTGGCGGCGACTAAAGAGTGTGATGAAGTGATGATGGTTTAAGACTTTAGACGAGAATCAGAGATGCTTAAATTTGAAGGAAATATCGCCAAAATGCAAAATATGGAAACAATACTGGAGTTTCTTTGTAATAATGGCCATCGCGGCAAAAGCGTGAAATATTTAAGACCGGCATGACGCAAAGACACGCTTGAGAGGATGGCGGATTCATTTATTAACAAAGTGAAAAAAAGAATTTTAGTTCCTTCCTTCCTTACTCATCTAACTCTTTACTATTAACCCACAACTGTCGGTTTTCGCTCCTTTTCTTTTTAGTATTCTCTTAACGATTTTAATTCCTAATCGTGGTTTACTTCCATTAAACTCTAATTTAAGTTGGTCTGCCTCTTCTGAGCTACCTAATGAGTAAAAAGTATACATATATAGAAAGTCTAAGTCTTTGACGACTAAATTAGTTGGTATTGTTGAAAATTAAGTGTAAAGCATCAATCTTTGTTCAAATTGTTAATGCATTGTTCATCTTTAATTTAAAAAAAAAATAAAAAAATAAAAAACACTTAAGTTGATGGCATTTAGAATGTAAGCTACTCTATTGAATATTATTGTTTGTGCGCTTTAACCTTTCCATGAAGAAGACGAATGCATAATATAATAAAGTGGTTGTAAGCTAGCGAACTCCAATTAATCCTAATTTAAATCATGTAATTAATATTATTGGTTCAAATAAGATCTGTTAGTTGCAAAACCGTTGCCTTGTTCAGATAATAATCCAAATGGAAAAGGGCATTAATTAGCTTAGCGTTACGGGCACGGGTGGGTTGTCGTAAGTCGTAAGGGAAGGGTTAAGTGAGAGAGGGGGAGGGATTACGGACGTCAGGACGTAAGAATTTCCAAGGAGGGGTAGCGGTGGAATTCTGAAGAGACACGTGGCAAAAGGGTCTGTCCTCCACAGAGGCTCGTGAAGTCGATGTCTCATTATAGGGGATGGGGGGCCCACCACGTGGGCTCTGATAGATCGGTCAGACGATCGAACGGTGCAGGAGGACACAAAAGGAGGCTGACGAGATCTTCACTGTATGGGCAATATATCTGATGAGGGTTGTTTTCCCGCACGTCACGCTTTTCCCGCCATGCTTTGTGGGGTCCACAATCAGTGTGTGTGAGAGAGAGAGAGAGCGTGGCTTTCAAACAGATGAAGCCCCACCACCGCCCATTGAGCTTCTAATTACTGACACTTTTCTGCCACACGTAAATAATCCATACCTCACCATCGAGAGAGAGAGAGAGAGCGTGGCTTTCAAACAGATGAAGCCCCACCACCGCCCATTGAGCTTCTAATTACTGACACTTTTCTGCCACACGTAAATAATCCATACCTCACCATCCTATTTTATTGTTTTTCACGGTACCTTCTTATTGTATTTTAATCTCTTTTATTCAAGCAGAAGAAAAGGAAATTGAGAGATATTTTCATTCTATTATTGAGGTCAAGTACGAAAATTTATGTTTGAAAAAGAAGAGAAGTGCAATCAATCAGTTCAGGCATCAGCATTTAAATACAAATACATCTGAAGTTAGTATTAATAAAATTAAACTAATCTGGAGTAAAAGGGAAATTTAGGCATATCATAATCTTAATAATGCAAAAAATATACATTTATTTTATAAATAGCAAACCGTTAATATCATTAGCCATTTCAATAATTATTACGTAATTTTTGGGTACAAAATATAAATTTTATAATAATTACTATTAATATTGTATTGTTAAACTATTCAGAAAACTGACTAAAGTTCACTGTTCTAAAACATGTAGGCAGTGTAATTTTCTGGGTTTTTCTTTTTTTTTTTTTTTGGGTAAATATGATTTTTACTAGTGTATGCTGGTAGGTGATTCTGATAAAGCTGAAAAAGCCTATATTTTCCAGTAATCTTAGCCCGCCAGCTTCAAACTCATACGGTCACTAGCTAAAGTGTAATATTAAATCAAGAGAGAGAGAGACGATATAAATGTTGGGCACGCTTACGAATGGTAATTTGGGTTCGCACGGAATTAACAGATTTAAATTTATTATAAATGAGTTTAAATTATAATTAAATTGACATAATTAATATGATTAATATATTAATTGAGTTAAGATTGATTTAATGATATGAATTGACATAATTAATTATATATATTATCTGTAATTTAATAATTTGTTATATAATATGAAAATTTATAAGACATTAAATGCAAATAATATGAATTTTACTAATTGTATGTAAAATTTATTTTTGTTTTAAAAGAAAAGATAAATTGACTAATAAACATATTAAACATATTATGATCATGTTAAATAAATCGTTATTATGTTAATTATTTATTTAATATATTAATTTAAACGGATTATACAGATTAATGCGATTAATACAATTAATAAATAGACTGTGTTTAAATTAATATTTTTAACACATTTAATAAATAAATTATATTTATGTTAATATTTTTTAATACTATTAATAAACGATTAACACGAATACCATTTACTAACATAGAATTGTCAAGGCGCTAATGGAAAAACGTTTTACCTATGAAAATGAGGGTAAACTAATTATAAAATGTCGTGTAAAATGGACCAAATGTGAACTGATAACGTAAAGGGACTTTCCTGAGCCTGTTGTGGAGCCAGCTAGTTGTCACCAATTCTGACAGAGAGAAATTATGGAATCAGGAAATTGTTACACTATACATTGCATGGTAACAATTTATCAACTTAAAAATATTACAAAATTTTCAAAAGTAATACAAATACAAAAATAACAAAAACCACAGGCATGATGATATCACTACATACTAGCATAATAATTAGAATATAGTATACAACAGATTTATAAAAATAAATTAAGCAAATAACATTTTACCTACTATTAGTAAAAAAAAAAAAAAAAATTCATATATATTTTCTTTTAAGTTAAAAAGATTTTTTTTCAATTTAATTATTTTTCACTAATTACAAATATTTACCCAATAAACTACTATTTAATTTAAATAATTTTAAAATCTACCATTTATTTAATTTAATTAAAAAATCCGCTATTTACTAAAATTTCTAAAATAGTAATCATTATTATAATGCAACTACATTAGTATTCTTGTAATATTTCAACTTTATTATTTAAATTTTGCGATACGTGTGATGTGGTGGAGATGGAGACGAAAACAGGCCATGCAACCCAATACCACGAGATTGATTGTTGTTAACAGTTTAAACTCAAACCTAATGTCAAGTGTCCAACATCAAGATACATGCGTACATCTTTGATAGCCAAGATTAATTACTGAGCACCATCGGTAGTCAAGAAACTAGATATATACATGGTGGGAAATATTTTTGGCCCCAATAAGACAGGTATTATATTCCCATACCATAGATCCAGTTAACACTCAATGCAACCAAATAATAAGAAGCTATACATATTATATGATGTCTCTTTATATGAACACCAAAAACCACCTATGGACAAACTACTATCTACCAGTGTACTAGGTTGAAGTGTTATTATATCTCGCTCTGCTGCTCCTCTGAAAGGAACATGGAAAAGTACTCGGAAATGGCATCCGACTGATTAGGCGGAGTGACCCTTTTCCTTACCAGCATCTCCACATTTGGATACTTCCTTTTCCGCCCACCCCTTGGCCGTGAACGGAACTGCTCATCGGACTCTTCAAAATCCCCCTAAAAGAAAACAAAAATCTGTTGAGAAAATTGCTTTATCGCTAAGGTATGACGAGATAATGTTCGATTGATTTTGACCACAAAACTCACATGGGTGTAAACATGGCGTCCGGTCTTCTCATGGTTATCTCTCACATGCTTGTACGCAAATCTCATGCCGCAACCAGCAAAGCCACAGGCAAAAGGTTTCTGTTTCAGGTGTGCAGCCTTCACATGTTGATTAAGATTCGATTTCTGCAAACAGACAAGTTATATTATTAAAAAGAGAAACATCTAACATAGGTGCAAATTATCAACAGAAGAAACAATCATTTATCATATTCACAACTCAAAAGAGCTCAAGACATAAACTCTCTCTAGTGTTGAAGCATGGAACTTACAGTTGAGAACGTGTGATCACAACCCTTAAAGTTGCATTTAATGCTCTCCGGCGAAACTTTTTCTTCATGCGTCCGGAGGTGTCTTTTAATGTTCTTTTTGAGCTGCTTGGTCCCACATATTTCGCAGGTGAAATGCCGGTGGCATGATTGAATATGTGCCTTGAGACATTGCACGTTGGTGAACGTTTTAATACAACCTGGTTCAGCACATATTGTCTCAACTGTGTTCAACTTAACTGCAACAGAAAGGTAACTGATCAGATCTTTGAACTGCAATTTATACATTGCTAAACTGGGAAGCAACATATCCCTTTAAAATGCACATGAAACAAAAAATTGAAAGTCATTACTAGGCATATATTCCATTCAAAGAAATCAAAAAGATTAAGACTGAGGTCATGATGAGCTACCAGAAAGCTTGGAAGAGGAAGACCAAAACAACTTACCATGGGAATCCTCGTGCTTTCGTAGCTTTGATGCAAACTTAAACACTTTTCCACACCCAACTTCGGGGCATACATACTGCTTCTCACATTCATCAGAGGGATGATCCTCGTCGTGTTGTTCCACAACATGCCTCTTCACGTTGCCTTGGAAAGCAAATTCACTCTTGCAGTTCTGAATAGGACACTTGAAAAGTTTTCCTTTGTGCCGAAGAAGATGACGAGTCAAGTGATCCTTTCTTATGTAACAGCATGGGCAATCATCCACCGGACAAACATATTGCCTCTGTAATAAAATCACAGATACAATGGACAGTAAGAACACACAAAGCCACAAACGTGGTTGCTAACAAATATATCAATATCATAGAAATAAGCACTAATCAAACCTCAAACTGAACGTAGCGTAATTGAGGCCCACTTGATGGAGCTTCTCAGGAGGTCGCCCAACCTGATACTGGTCCATCAAGTCGCAACCCTCTCGCATTTTGGAGTTCTTTATGTGGGATCCAATGCTTCACACTGAAATTTATGGGGATATTTCATTATATTATTGATTCCTGCAAAATTTTATCTCTTAAGTTGAAGTAAACAGTAAAGAGTGGAAAACAAAAACAAAACGAAGAATTGGCTTAACCAGCAGCTGTGAAAAATATTTGCATTTAGCAAGCATAAACTCAAGAACCTTTTTTTTTTTGGGG